CGAGTTCACTGCAGCACAACAGCCCAGACTCATTAGCATCCTACCCGAGGCCACTTCCACATTGTCGCAGCAGAGCTGACGTGCAGCAATGAAGCTTGCCAGAGCCCACAATACCTAAAATATTTACTCAGGGACTCCTTCAAGGTCAAGAAGAGCCAAATCCTATCTTGGAGCAAGAGCACCTGCCAGACCTTAAGAACCCGCTGGGTACATGGTGGAACATCATGGTACTGGGCGACAAGGTTTGGACTGCTGCATGCTTGAACCCTGGTGACTCGCACGGACATCCCACTCGTGATGAAATAGAGGACACGCAGCGTGGGAGCTGTGCAGCAGAGGTGCCCCAGAGCAGGCTCCTCCTTCCCAGGCACAGTCCAGGGCCGATGCCAATCCACGGTGCACAAGTTAGGTGGGAACCTCAGAGACCCTCCAACCGCAAGCTCTTGCTGTCTGGAAAAGAGAAGAAGGCCCAGACAGTGGAAGACACTCCATGACAAACATGGGAAAGGACTCGAGGCTCCAGCGTGCCCTGCACAACCCTCCCTGCACCCCGCCAGGCTGACCTCTGGTCACAGGTGCGCTGAGGCAGTGGGGGGCCATGCAGCGGAGGCCTACCTTACCTCCGTCTATGTGATGGACACATCGTACTCCCACTTCACAGATGAAGCCCAAAGACGTGTCCCCGGGGCCCAGAGCTGGGAGAGCCGAGGTGTGGGTGAAGCTTCCCCTGCGCCCAAAGCTCTGGTGAACTGGAGCTGTTTGAGAACTACAGAAGAGCCATCCCTGAGGTCAGTCCACCACCAGCCCTCCACACCTGCTGCCTCGGGTAAGCCGGGGCCTCCTGGCTCCCCCTGCTGGCGCATTATCGCCATGGCGAGCACCACTTCCCAGCTTCCTTGGGCTACTGCAGGGCTCAGTTGATAGCTAACAGGTTCCACCTGCTTCCACACCAAGGCAATGAGAAGGCGCAGGCTGAGAATAGAGAGCTGAAAGAGAGGCATTTGAGGCCAGACACGTATATATTCATATCTCTTAAGTTTCATCCCCAGCAAATGTAAACATTCCCTTCAGAGCAAGGTAACTGCTTGGATCCTCCATGCCTACATCTGTGAAATGGGTGATACAGGCAGTCTGTGACGTGTGCAGAACATCCAGTGGAGGACTGACACTGCGGGCACTTGGCAAACACCTCCTGCTGAAGCTATTCTGTGCTCAGCACGATTCCAACCATGTGGGAACAGACCTGGCCTGGTTAGGACAAGGGAGATGCTAGGTGCTGCCAGGGCCCTGATAGCAAGATTGCCCTATGCTGCCACATCGCCTCTGCCAGCATGTCCCGGGCATCAAGCCTCCCTATAGCCCTAAGAGTGGGTATCCACAGCCCACTGTGAGGCCGCAGGCAGGAAGGACCAGGAAGGATATGAGGGGGGAGGGAAGGAGCAGAGGACTCCTGGTGCACAAGTGTTTCAGGAACGCTGTGCTTGCACGGGCAAGGCACCTCAGTCGGAGGGAACAGCACAGGGCGTCTGGCACTGGGACATCCAAGGTTCAGGCTCTTCTGCAGGCCACTGGGTGCTCCTTGTCAGAACCACGGGAGTGTGCCCTGTTCTGCTGCTCTCATTCCGCTGCCCCCACTTCCCACGGAACACAGTGTAAAGAACTGGTCTGGGCAGTGAGTGAACCTGCAATGCTGTGTGCCAGGGGTCCCTGCTGACCTCATCAAGGGTGCAGGATCAAGGACAAGGCCCTCCCAGGCCTGCAATAGGGACCGCGGTCTCCTCAGCACACGCTTCACCAAGGCACCTGGCAGCGGCATTCGGCACGCATGGGCTCTGTTCCTCTGATGAGCCCTCTTCCCTCCCTGAGCCTCAGTTTGCTCATCTGTAGAATGGGACCCATTCATCACAGACAGTTCCACCACCAGCCCTTCTGGCCCAGCACAAGCCTCCCCACAGGCAGCACTGCTGTCTGGGTCATCTCTGGTCCAGTGCTAGGGGCCCAGGGATGGGAGCATGGGAGGCGTCAAGTGCCACTGTCCCCAACCTGGCTCCAGTCCAACCCTGCCTCCTTCTGTCTGCACAGTCCTTTCTCTTCCCTTTTGTCTGCTTGATGGTAACAACAGACCAAGCTGTCGCTGCTTATTTAGCCTGCAGGACATGGGACAACTGTAATCTACCAGAAACCACCGAAGCCTTAAATTGCCGTGCAAACGGTGGCAGTGATAGATTAGAATTTTCTAAATCAAACCCCAACGTGTCCTAGTCATGGCTAAGAGGGGAGGACCAGGTTGACGTGAAAATAATTTACTTACAAAATGTTGTGATGCACAGTAGAGTGCCCCCTTAGCACGGGTTCCCCCTCCAGCAATGTATTCGTCTACTTAATTGACTCGCAAAGACCTGCTCTGCCTTACAGCTGCGACACAGCAGCAGGGAGACGCCAACTCAGATTCCATTCAAGGCAAGACAGACACTTCATTCTGAAATTTTAAATGGGGTGGAGGGGGAAATGCCTGTGGAACCAAATGATGTTTTCCCTGCAGCCTTGAAAGACAGAACTAAAGAATGAGGTAAAAATCATTAGTGACAAAAGCTGATGCATTCTAAATATGCATATGTTACAACAAACACTAATTGGCTAAATTAGCCCTGCAGAGAGAGGTTAAAAATGGATTCACTGCCTCCTCAGATGTGCAACACGGAGGGTAGCCCCACAGCTCAAACTGCTGTGGCAAAGTCTTGTGGGACAGAGACCACACCCCGAGCAGCCCAGCTGTATCTCCACCCCCATGCAAACATTCTCCGCCAACTCGCCCCACAATGGGGTTGTTTGGAAGGTCTTCCTCTACGGCTTGCGTGGTGTGCACCTGCTCTCTTCCCAGAACTGGACACAGAACATACAGGAAACTCCTTGCTGAGTTCCTGGCATCTGGGGAGCTGGCCAGATCCCGTGCCGTTATTATCTGCCTCTGCACTACCAGGTGGGAGCTGGTGCGGCTTCCCCACATCACATCCCAGCTGATGTCTGTCCTGCCTGGGCAGTCTGCTCACCAGAGCCCGGCCTGTGTGAACAGATCAGAGCTGGGATGTGAGGGCATGACATGGAGGCAAAGCCAGTGTGAATGTGAGAGCTGCTGGCAGCTAAGTGGAAAGGGGGCCAGGGGCTGCCTACACTGTCCTCAGCATGTCCCACCAGCCCCAAGTGTCCCAGGGATTCCTTCTCTGCTCTCTGCCCTACCTCTGGTCTCGGGCTGGCCCTGGGCCTCCTGTTCTGGGTGACACTCACTCTTACAAGGGGACCCTGGCCTCACAGCCCTGCCCCCCACTCAGTGCCTACCTCCCCGTCCTGCTGCCAGGGCTGACAGCGGTGACAAGGCACAGAAAATACCAACGGTAGCTGAGGGATCTGGAACCCTGCCCGCCTGCAGTCACCAGAGGCGGCCTTGCTAACCTTAAGGGTCACCAAGGACAGGCTGGGGCAAGGTTCTCCACCAGCCACCATCTTGAGCTTCCAAAAAGAGAGCCAGGCAGAAGAGGGCACATTGGTCACAGGCACAGATCTCAACAGCGTAGATGATTCCCCCCGTAACAAAGCAAGCAAAGGACCTGGGCAGCAAAGGCTTTTATTTCACCCACTTCGCCTCCTTAGAATGGGAGGTTAGAAGTGAAGTAGTCCGGAGAGAGCAGGACAGAGTGGCAGAGGGTCTGTCGGGAAGGAGGTCGGGGAGGAGGCTGCACCGCATGGTCATCTGAATGTACTCCATGGCTCGGACCTCAGCATTCGCTCCTCATGAGGGGCATGGACAACCAGCCCTCCTGGCCCTGCCACCCAGATGCCCACAAGGGAATGGCAGCCAGGAGTAAGACAGACCCTCAGCTGTGTGTCTGCATTTCCAGGTTGTGTGCACCCACGAGGCACAGCCTGAATGCAAGCACCCTGCTGCCTCTGGGCCACCCTCTGCCACCACGGCCCAGCTTCTGAGAGAGGACATGGGGGACACCCACGCCGCCGCCACCTTCCCATGGAACACAGGAAGCTGCTAGAGCATGTGGACACCTGGCCCTCTACTGACCACGTGGGCTTGGCTCGGGGGGCTCTCCCCATAAACCAGGGCTGGGCAGTCCCACCCAGGACACGGCAGAAGAGCTCACAGCACCTGAGTAATGGAGTCGGGGTGAGCCCAGCTCCTCGGCCTCCTCTCTGAACACACCCCACTCTGGCTGGAGCCTGGCTCTGACACTCTCACTGGCGCATCACACGTCATTGCGTCCCCACAGACGAGGGGATCAAGTCGGCACCTCGCGTCCTGGCCTCTAGCACACAGCTCCAGCTGCGTGGGAATGCTCCTGGCCCACAGCCCACACCCACACTGCCCGCCTCCAGAATTATGCTCCCGTGGCCACTCTGTCAGACCCCCTGTGCACTTCCTCCCATCCTGTCTCCACAGGTTCAAGGCCCATCTGGCTCACAATACCTACTCCCTCTGGATACTGGAAGCACTTCCATCTTCATTACTTGGGACAATAAGTTGGGCCTTCTTGCTGATAGCAGCAGCCTGGACATTGTCCCCCATGAGGCTGCCTCAGGCCCTGCTAGGAACTCAGAGGGGCTGTTAACAGTGAAGGCAAGTGCAGGGGCCACGACCTCTGCTCTCCACTCCTCCACAGATTGGCTGTGGCTTCACCTGCCCACGTGCTCATCGGAAGCAGCATCCGCATGTCACAGTCGACCTCAGGGAGTGAGGGTGGGTGAAGGCTTCTGGAACCCGAGTATGCACAGGTGTGGCAGGACTGTACTCAATGCCTCCACCTCCAAAGTGTGGGCTCCACCACGAGCACCTGCTGTGACTCCTGGGTGTCAGCCACCTGCTCCTCCCAGATTCAAGAGGAGGAGACGGGCAGCCCACGTCTCAGCTGCCAAGGCCTTGGGTGCCCTTGTCCACTTGGGTCCAAGTCTCAGCAGCATAGATGATCCCCCATAACAGAGCATGCAAAGGACCAGGGCAGCAAAGGCTTTTATTTCATCCACTTCGCCTCCTTAGAATGGGAGGTTAGAAGTGAAAAGTGCATTTTTCTTGAAAGAATTCTGAGATGGCAAGATAAGACCCTGGAATAGGAGCCAGGCTGTGATAACTTCATGTGTTGATGGCCCAGGACCCCGAGCTGGAGCGACTGTGTCCACAGAGCCTGGGCCAACCCCACCCTCCCCCACCCAGTGGTGATTCTCCCACTGTAAGGTCACTTCCTTGGTCATGGCTTCTCCTCCTCACCGTACTGCATAGCGGTCCCTGATGAGGTCTGGGCCCCTGGCTGGGGGTCACGGAGTTGGGGATGTGGCTCAAGGAACAGACGGGGAGTCTCTGTTCTGGGTCCCAAAGCAGGGAAAGCCAGCATGGGCAGGGCACATGGGGGAGGCGACATAAGCCTGTCCAGAGGCAGACACTACGGGACAAGGGCATACTTGTGGGCTGGGGACAGGGAGCCAGGGTTGCTGGTGATGCCCATGGCCCTGCCCACCCAAAGAAGGATCAGCAGAGTCCCATCTCGGCTGCTAGGCAGGAAGGGCAGGGAGAGCGTGCCACTCTGGGAGCCAGGCGGGCAGGTGGTCTCCCAGGCTCCCACAGCCGTGGCCGTGCAATGCTGCTGTCCTCTACAGCTCCTGCGCCGGCTGCTCCAGGGGCTGCACGGCCTCCTGCACGTAGACAATGAACTCCGAGGCCTCGCCGCCCTGCGTGTACACGGTCACCGTCTCGATGCCCTCCACGTCGTCGGAGGACACCACCAGATGGTGCTGCTCAGCCAGCTCCACGGAGGCTTGCTGGAGGGTCTCCTGGATCATGACGGTGTGGTTGGAGCTGGGCTCCTCATCGGTGACCTGGAAGGCGGCAAGAGAGAGCTCATGGGTCTTGCTTTTCCAGCCCGGGGGTGAGAACCACAAGGGGCGAGAGCACGGTCACAGTGGACAGAGCAGGTGGCACACGCCAGGAGCGCTCCGTGTGCTCCATGGAGCCCTCCCACACAGGTTCACCTCACAGAGGAGGCACACGAGGCTCTGTGACACAGACCAACCTGAACAGCGGCCCCCCTGCTGTGGCAAATGGTGGCACTCAAGTTCAAACTCCAAGTCAAGCTGTTTGATAGCCACCATGCTGCCTCTTGGTCTCCCAGAAGCTGCGAGAGGATGGCTTCCCCTCGGAGTGCTGCATAGGACCCCCCGAGCTCACAGCCAGGCCCTTCTCTGCAGCTCGAAGCTGGAGGGTGGCAGGCCAGGCCAGGCCACGCTCCACCTGTCGTTGATTTCGCTTACTCCTGACTCCACCAGTTCTGGGCTGTTTTTTATCTTGACCAGAGAAACAGGACATGCAAACATCTGGAAGGCAGAGCACAGCTGCAGGGCCGAGTGCAGGATCAGAACACAAACAGCTGGAGGAAGGGGCTGAGCTGCTTAGCAGGAGAACGAGACAGGCCGAACATCCCCGGAGGGCAGTCAGGGACCCTGCTCACTTCCAGTGCGTGCTCGTGGCAGAGCGGAGAGACCCCAGTGTCTTGTCCTGCACTAACGGACCTGTGGCCATCAGTCAGCACCTGCCAGCTGCAAGACCTCAATAAGTACCTTCCCAGTGTGAGCCAGAGACCAAGGCTGCTGGGCTGGGCGAGGGTTGCGGCACAGCAGGGCGAGGCGCCTGTGACACTGGCATCTTCAACAAGTGCCAGTTCCAGTCCTGGCTGCTCCACTTCCCACCCAGCTCCCTGCTAACACACCAGGAAAGCAGTCAATGTCGCCAGTTAAGGCACCTACACACCCATCAACACCCAGAGTCCAACATCCGGGCTCTGGGCCGGCCCAGCCCTGGCCACTGCAAACATCTGAGTGAACCAGCAACTGAATGGCTTTCCACTCTTTCTAACTCTGCTTTTCAAATAAATAACTAAAAATACATATTTAAAAAGAAAATGATGCCATGGGAATTACAGGAGCTTCTACTTGCAGAGTAGGGGGGGGGGTTAACCACACAGCCAACTAACTATCTTTCCAGCTCTTCATTCAATGACACTTTTGTAAATAGCTATGACCTGGAAGGCACTGTGGCTTCCCAGGCACTTGCTGTTTGAACTTTTACCACCACCAGCCACTGCTCAGCTGTGAGCACCCGAGGGCAGGCACCGCATCTGCCTGGTCTTAGCTACACACAATGACTCAAAGCATCATCGGCAGTGAAGCGAGCCCTCAGCGCCAGCCTGCTCACCCAGCAGCACGGCAGAGAATGACAGTGAGCCCTGCATGGCAGGCAAGCAGGGATACAGTGCCAGGCGGGGGAGTGACAGGCTCCAGGCAGGCGGGGAAGGAGGAAGGACTGCCCTATGTGGAGAGCGGCAGTTCCCAAACACCTGCAGCATCTGACTCCCCTCTGTCCCCGCTGGCAGCCGGAACCGGACTGCTTCCTGCCCCCTCCCCATTCGTCATGATGGGCTCTCTGGGGAAGGCCCACAGCCTCACAGTGGGAGTCTCATTCCTGCCCTCAGGTGATCCGAAGCCCGGGAGCAGGAAGGTGCACGGGAGCACCCGTGGGAGGCTGTGGAGGGCTTCCTTGCCTGGACTGAAGGGATTTTCCATCTGACCTCACAGAAGCCAGCGAGCCGGACAGCTACCAGGTGAACTATGCTACACCAGACTTTCACTGCTTCTTGTTTTCTTTCTGTCCAACTGTCTGCTTCACTTTCACTTACCTGGGAAAGTGTATCACGAGTTAGGCCTTTGGAAGTCAATGTCAACTGACCTGACATGACAGACAGCACCGGATAGGAGCAGGGAAGGGGCGAGCAGTCTGCTCCCCGCCTGAGGAGCTGTCTGCAGCTTCCACACACAATGAGGAGGAGCAGGCCTGAGACCCCAAGGACCTCCCGTGAGCCAACAGGCCAGACACACTGCAGGGAGACAGGCAGCATCAGCTCAATCAGGCGCCATGAGCCAGCCTCTGGGACGTGACACCATTCTAAGGACACAGCGATTGTCACGAGCAAGCATTCCCTGATGGGAATTTTCCACCTTTGTTGGTTAAAACTTCCCGTCCTTGTAATAACCCCAGTCTACGCTGTCCAAGCGCTGAAGGGGCCTGAAGGGGCTGTAAGGAAAAGAGGAACAGTGCCCTGGCCAGGCCTGTGAGAGGGATGGGCCCAGCTGTCCATCCCCATGACAACAGAGCTGACCAGGACGTGGCTGCTGGCCACAGCGGGAGGGGGACATGATCAAGAGCAGGTTGAAGGGTATCAGTGCTGTAATGTAATAGGTTAGGCCTATTACATCTGTAATCCAGCATCCCACGTGGGCACTGGTTCGAGTCCCAGTTGCCCCACTTCCAATCCAGCTCCCTTCCAGCAGCCTGGAAATTCAGCAGAAGACGGCCCAAGTGCTCCCATGCCCACGTGGGAGATCCCAACGAAGCTCCAGGCTGCTGGCGTTAGCCTGGCCCAGCTCTGGATGGTGTGGCCATTTGGAGAGTGAACCAGCGGATGGGAGATCTCTCTCTCCCTGTAACTCAAACCAAAATAAATTTTTGTCTATTAAAAAAAAAAAGGCCAACACACAGGAACTGAAGGCAATCAATGTCAGCTCTGTGACCTCAGGCCTGGGGGCTGTGGGCTGCTTCGTGACAGGGTATGTTAGCCACAGTGAGAGGACAGTGCGCAGAGGAAGGAGTACCCAGAAGGCCTGACAAGTGTACTGGCCACCTGGTCAATAAGCCCACCAGGCAGAGGTCTGTCTGCATCTTTCCAGAAACGTATGTGCTGAGGTCAGAAGCTGGTCTCCCATGTGGGTGCAGGTGCCCAAGCACTCGTGCCATCTTTTGCTGCTTTCCTATGGCATTGTGAGGAAGCCAGATGGGAGGTGGAGCAGCCTGGACAGGAACCAGCGCCCACTGGGAACACATCACAGCAGGCAGCTTCACCTCTACGTCACAATGCCAGCTCTTAAGAAATCTGCCCTTCCTCCCTGTTTTTCAACTGTTCCTGGTTGTTCAGCAGCTCATCCACTGATAATTATCAAGAGTACGGTAAAGTCTCCAGATACAGTCCTTTGCACTCAACATCCAGGCGAGAGGAGGCAGAGGTGACTGCATTCCACCCGAGCCCTGAAACAGCATGCATCTGTTTCGGCTCACAGGGCACGGGCTGTGTTTCTCTAAAACCCACATGCCAATCACCCTGGGTTCCAGAGCATCACCTGCCACCTGCGGCTGGGCCAGGTCCATGTTCTCATCAGGGACTTTGCTGTGAGGCTCTGCCTGCCCTTGCACAGGCTGTGGGTGCAAGCAGCTCGCCTGTGAACGGCGCATGCAGAACTGAGGGGGATGGCAGACTGCCCGATAGGGTGTGCTATGCCCCTTATGTGTTTCCAGTGGCAGAGGACCCCACTGTCTTCTTGTCACCTCTGTGAGCTGGACATTTCCTTTCTGATCCCCAGGAAACAGGACATGCACCCCGCCCCGTGCACTCTCCTCAACTCTGCCTCACACCTCACAAGTGTTTACACACAGGACCGGTGGCTCGGGCATTTCCGTACTACTTTACGAGCGGGGCACCGATGTTGTTAGTGTCTTGTGACTCACTGAAAGTGTGACAGTCGCAAAACACAAAAACGCGATCCTTGGTCTGTGGGATCCTGAGTCCAGAGACCATCCCTGGCAGGCGCAGCTGTGACAATGACTGAGGTCACACATATCACAGAACAACAAGAATAATTATCACCCCTGTTCTGTCCTGACCAGTTGATGGCTAAGGGGCTTCTCAGTCATTCCCTTTATTAAAAAAAAAAAAAATCATGCTGGTGGCTGAATCTATTAGCTTGAGATGAAAAATGTTCTCCATGACAGAAATAATATGGCTTTCATGGTGCCATTTACCCCCTGAGGTGTCCATTCCTTTTTTCCTAGTTATTGGAGTGAATGTGTCATTTAGCTAAATGATTAACAGCCCAGACAGCTTAATGGAAAACCTGCGACAGTGGGACCATACAAGCATCCCTGCATCAGGCGCCGTGTCCCGCAGCCTGCCCATCTCTCACGTGTTCTCTGGGATCTCACTACGTTGCTGCCAGAAGTGAGGCTCTCAATGGGGTCTGCAGATCCTGCATTGCAGCCTCCCATCCAGACTCCTACGTGCCCCACTTCCATGGTGTCACCCTCTCCCAGCCCACTTACTGGGCAAACCCTGAGAGACACTGCATGGTGCCAGCCAGCCAGGGATGACTCTGGCTGCCTCAGTCTCCTTTTGCCCCACCTGTCTTCTGATCCAACTCCCCTTGCTATATTCTGTATATTCACCTTTCTTAGCAGGTTAAGCTATGTCCCTCCCAACAATCCTAGCTAGGGCGTCCCCCCTTCAGGAAGATGGCCCCAGCATCACCCCCGCAGAGCCGCTGCACGAGGACTTGGCATGTGATGCATTCCTGTGTGGAGCAAGGGTGGCATGGCTCCTAGGTGGTAAGGCCAGTGCACCTGCGTGTCTGTGCCACAGCACCTTCTAGAATGACTGGCATGGTTCCAGGGTTCCCTCTGCGGCCACACTGTCACTGGAACAGTTTTAGGGAGGCAGAACTTTTACAAACTCAGTTTCTTTCCTCAGGCATGGACGAATGTGCCCTGCATGAGAGTGTGTGCCTGAGGACGGAGTAAATGTGACCCACTTGCTGCTCTGTCTCTCATGCTCCCTTCCTCTCCCCCAGCAGGCCCCTGGACTCCACAGCCCGTAGGACCAGGAGGCAAACAAGCACTTGCTCTCAGGGCCAGAGTTCTGGTGCAACAAGTTAAGCAACCACTCGTGACATTTTCAGTCGACACCAGAGCATTACTGCACTTCTGATCCAGCTCCCTGCTA